TCAATTAAAGAATTGAAAAACATCCATTCGATATCAGAGAAACTTCATGAAAACCATTCAATCGTAACAAAGGCAAATAAAATGAATACAGTCGTTGTAATGACAAAAGAAGACTACCAAAAGAAAATGACAGAATGTATTGAGAATTATCAATTTAAAGAATTGCTTTAAGATCCAACACAAGAATACAACAAAGCCCTCAATACGGTAGTACAATTACAACATACAAAGCACTTACAAAAGCTGAAAAACAAAGATTGAAAACGATTACCCCTACAGCACCAAATTTAAGAGGTCAGCCCAAAATGCACAAACCAAACAACCCAATAAGGCCAATCGTAAATAACCAAAACGCTCCAGGATATAAAATTTTTAAGTATCTTAACAAACAGATGCGTGAATGTTTAACAAGTAGGCCTACAACCAATTATAATGTGAAAAATTCTGAAGACCTTATAACAAAAATCAAAGATATAAAAATACCAACAGATACTATTATTTGGAATAAACAAAATGTACACTAACATCACTTAACTAGTAACAAAACGTAACTAATTCAAATTATTTTAAGTATGAATCCAAAATGTACAAACAATGTGATGGTCTAGCGATGGGCTCACCACTTTCTGGCCTATTAGTTGACATATTTATTTAAATGACTTAGAAGAAAATAAGATAATGAACAAAAATAACCCTCATAACAAAAACATAATACAGTATATTGGCACAGATAAGTGGATGACATATTATGTCTATTCAAATGAAATGAAAAATCGTGCAATGACTTTTTATTATATTTAAACATAATATCTAAGAAAGAAATTCACAACGGAAATATAAAAATATGAAATCAATTTTCTCGACTCAACAATTGGAAAATACAATGACGAACATTATTTTAAAATTTATAGAAAAGCCAAACAAACAGATCTTGTTATTCCTGCTGACTCAAATTAACCGTAGCAACATAAAATGGCAGGCCTCAACTCTATGGTACACAGAATGATACGAGTACCTCTAAATGAAGATGATTAAAATTTGGAAAAATACATTCTAAAAGACATAGAAATGAAATGAAGTAAATACAAAGCTAGTTTAAAAGACAAATTAATCGAGAAAAAAAAATAAGAAAACCCAAAATTCAAACAAAGAATAGAAGAAGGAGTAAATTTGTCTTCCGTACAGTTTGGTATTAAATAAAAAAAATCAGAAAAACATTTCAAGCATCTAAATTCAAAATTGGCTATAGATCTAGAAACGACGCATACAATTTAATTAATAAACTATCTAAAAAGAACCCACATGCAATTGACAAATAAATATAACAAATCTGGAATATACAAAATGTAATGTCTAAATTGTCCCAAATTCTACATTGGTCAGAATGGAAGAGCGTTTTAATGCAGATTTAAAGAACATATCCAAGCCGGAAAATTAAACATTCAAACCCAACGTTCAATGTACATATATTAGAAAACAATCATAATTATGACAAATTAGAAGAATGTGTAGAAATTCTTAATTGTGTGAAAAAATGGATAAGAACTGCAAATTTACCTACACTCAAAAGACTACGGTTACCTAATTCTCAATGTAATACAAAAGCAAAAACAAAATCCAATTCATGAAAAAATCAGTGAAAACAGAGAAGAATCTAATACATTCACATGTTAAATAAATACACGTAACCATTTAATCAAAATTTCCTATGAATTAAGAACGTAAGTTATTAACTATTTATTTTGTTTATGACTATTTATTTTGTTCACATATTTTTATTACTAATACTGTGATCATAGCCTTAGTGCCGAAATACGTATAAGTTTAATAAAAATGTATTTCAGGGTACTCTGGTTTTTATTATTTCACTTATTTATTGAAAAAGTAGTTCTAAAAAGTCAACAGAATTATCAAAATTATCAATTATCAAATCAAATCAAATGATCAAATCGTGTAAATGTATCGGTTTGGAACTGCGTGTATGTGTGTGTGTTAACTATACGTGAAACTGCAACAATTAGTGTCATAAAAGTAAATCAATGGAGACAAAAGATTTGACGATGGGGCAGCATGCCTCAAAACTATAGTCATCCTGGAAAGCGACAAGGATTGATGACGTGAAATGGTATTTAACCTATTATTATCATCGATGGTTTAACAAATTTAAACAATAAGTTAAGCTTTAGGTGAATGGCGATTCCATTGAAGTTTATTATACATGTATTTTGATAGGACGATAAAAAAATTACAGAAACAATATTGGTAACAGCAAAAAGAACTCCTGATAATCCTTTTTCTCCCTACAGCTTAAAAGTACTGTTTTCGAGGCGTGTATGCATCGAAAACAGTAACGACAAAGGTTTTTTATAATATTTTTTAGAATGTTTGGTTGGTTTCCATGCGTATTTTTAACCCAGCATAGTTTTTGTTTATTAGTACCTATTACTTCAACTCATTTCTTTCAAGTCCTAACAACTAAAACAATTCTTACTAATGCATAGTTTTAAATCGCTTGCTAGATGGATATTATACAAACATAATATTTCAAAATCTATGATTTGCAGGAACGTTTTATCGTTGAACTTATCTAAAAGTAAACATAATATGAATTGTTGATCTTTTACGAACTAATAACACATTCTGCAATGTTATTGAGTTTTGAAATGATAATATGGTTTCTGAAGTGTTAATATATTTTGAAGTGATGCTAGACCGAAATTTGTTTGTTCAGGTAGCTTTCGCTAAGTTGAGTTATAGTTAGATATGAGCTTAGCCTCATTATTAGGTACATATCTCTACCACAGTAAATACAAGTTATTACCATCCTTTAAAGGCATAATGTCTTTATAACATATGCATACTTTGTAACATAGTTGAATTGAATGTAATAATAAAAAAATTGCTGTAATGGTACTACAGCTCAAACAATTCGCTAATTTTTTAGTTTGATCGTATTTTGTTATGCTTTTGTTGATAATTAGCAATAAGTAAACATTTGTATCTATGATTATGATTAATATAATTTGGGTAAGCTCAAATACTCTTTAAATATATTTAATATAGCTTTTAAATGGGACTGAGTAAGTGCTTTGTATCGGTTTATCCATTAAAGAGCTTATTTTATTATTTTCACTAAAATAAGAATAATGTATTAACTAAATACTTACATAGCAAGAGTGCAATAGGAATTTTTAATTTACAATACACAACATAGCCTTAACACTCTTCTCGCATATAACTACTATATTGTCAATCAATTTGTTATTAATGCTGTCTTTTTTATTACCCACATTTAGATCTAAGGTGTAAGGTGTATCTTCAAGCCAATCTAATTGCTATCTAAAACTTTTAATTTCATATTTTTACAACGGGTATCAGTTTTTTGCCATATTATCCCTATGAAGACCAATAAATTTTTATCATCATGCTACCCTCGTGCAAATCTTAACTTTTTTATCTACATTTTGATAAATGGTTAGTTTCATGGATACGTAAATAACAATTTTTAGGTTAACAGGTAAACACTTATTGACCTAGATAAACATACATTGAATTTCCGCAATGCCATCAGCTCGAAAACTAGATCACATCACCTATTAAACAACATCCTATATGAACCTTTTGAAACGTGGTTTCATTCAACACGTTTCCTGTTTTCCTCATATTATCTTTCAGCAAACAGTCACTGAACCGAAAAAACCTTTTGTTACATAACTATTTTTGGTTTTAAACCTAACAATGTATTTTAAATAGTTTGACTGTGGTTTTTGGTCTTTCTACGCTGATTGAATAGCAGGTTTTTATCAAGGGAACGATATAAATATTGGTATTGTAACCATCTAAAGTCGACATTTTATTTGATTGTACCAAATGTATCATCTTTGACAACTAGACATTCCTTTCCCATGTCAAAGTTGCCACCTGTTTTTTATCAAATCGTCGTAGTTGATGTAAGCCACCGACAGATCCACACACACGATAGGTGCTGATGTAAATTACAAATTTTATTTAGGATAAACAATATGTTTAACGAAATCAAGCTTATTGTAATCCATAGCAACTATTACGACCCATCAAGTCAGACACAAACAAATAAGTAGAAAATATGATTTTAGCCACTTTCACAACTATGTTCGCTTTTAATACAAAATTTACGACAGCTGGTCCATACAGATGTCTTCTTCAGTATTCAATTGAAATGTTTGAATTCGAGGAATCTTTTTATGAGACTAATTTATATAAAACTAGCTGTAACCCGCGGGCTTTGCCCCGTTTAACTTCTTAATTTTCAAGATTATCTCGTTCGCATGACTCAATCATGTCCTGGTTGAAGTTTGTTCGCTACGCTCACTCACCTTTAGGTTGGAGCTCGTTCGCTACGCTCACTCACCTTTAGGTTGGAGCTCGTTCGCTGCGCTCACTTGCCTTCAGGTTAGCTCGTTCGCTACGCTAACTCGCCTCCAGGTTGAAGTTCGTTCGCTACGCTCACTCACCTTTTGGTTGCAAATTAGCTGTTGTCATAAATGTAAAAGAAATAATAGTGCTGCACCCTGTTGGTAATCCTTGTAATTTTGATGCTATTGAACGTCATAGAACAGAACCAACTTGTTTAATTGAAACAGCTGTTAAGATTCATTAATTCCTTTTAAATATGAAAAATCATAAGGTTAACATGGGAAACTCCAGAGCCACTGGGGCGGAGCCCGAAAGGATTTTTGAAATAATAATATGCCTATATGTTAATCGGGAATGTGAGCTATCATCATGCCAAATTTCAGCCCAATCCGACCAGTATTTTTCGCGTTCACTTGTCACAAACATACATCCATACATCCATACATCCAAACTTTCTCATTTATAATATTAGTAGGATTTACAAACAGGTGACTATTCATAATTTAGGTTAATTAAAGAGAAATGGGCTAACCAAGTTTCATATGAAGCTGGGTTTCCAGTTGTCTACTAACTTTAGGAAGTCCAGATAAGTTTTTTGTTGACAGTCGAGCAGTTCGAACAACAGGAAGGCAGCGTCTCAAGAGTCTTACCACTCATCTAGAGGGCAAGGATCTACGGCTAGTCAGGGCAGTCAGCCGCCCAGCCGCCCTGGACGTGCCACCCACCTGGACCTGGGGACCGGGCCGCCTCCCACACCTACAACCACCTTCGTACACTCAGCAGCCAACAAATGTATCCGTGAGTAGCCCATCCTAGTGTCAGTAGCATGTAGTCTAGTCAGGCCAGTCAGCCGCCCTGGACGTGCCACCCACCTGGACCTGGGGACCGGGCCGCCTCCCACACCTACAACCACCTTCGTACACTCAGCAGCCAACAAATGTATCCGTGAGTAGCCCATCCTAGTGTCAGTAGCATGTAGGCTAGTCAGGCCAGTCAGCCGCCCTGGACGTGCCACCCACCTGGACCTGGGGACCGGGCCGCCTCCCACACCTACAACCACCTTCGTACACTCAGCAGCCAACAAATGTATCCGTGAGTAGCCCATCCTAGTGTCAGTAGCATGTAGGCTAGTCAGGCCAGTCAGCCGCCCTGGACGTGCCACCCACCTGGACCTGGGGACCGGGCCGCCGCCCACACCTACAACCACCTTCGTACACTCAGCAGCCAACAAATGTATCCGTGAGTAGCCCATCCTAGTGTCAGTAGCATGTAGTCTAGTCAGGCCAGTCAGCCGTCCAGCCGCCCTGGACGTGCCACCCACCTGGACCTGGGGACCGGGCCACCTCCCACACCTACAACCACCTTCGTACACTCAGCAGCCAACAAATGTATCCGTGAGTAGCCCATCCTAGTGTCAGTAGCATGTAGGCTAGTCAGGCCAGTCAGCCGCCCTGGACGTGCCACCCACCTGGACCTGGGGACCGGGCCGCCTCCCACACCTACAACCACCTTCGTACACTCAGCAGCCAACAAATGTATCCGTGAGTAGCCCATCCTAGTGTCAGTAACATGTAGGCTAGTCAGGCCAGTCAGCCGCCCTGGACGTGCCACCCACCTGGACCTGGGGACCGGGCCGCCGCCCACACCTACAACCACCTTCGTACACTCAGCAGCCAACAAATGTATCTGTGAGTACAACTAAAATCAAACTAGTCATACATTCAAACAATAGCCTATTATACAGGGTGTCCATAAAAAACGTTTGCGGACTTTGGGAAATGAATCCCGATACTAAAAGGAAGAAAAAAGTTTATGGAAAGGTATGTCCGAAAAAGCATATTAACCCAGATATCCGCCATTTTGTTTTTTATAAAAAAATATTTTTATCTGTGAAGTTTTTTATCCGATAATTATGAAGTTTGGTAAACATGTTAACATACACAAGACCTATAATAGAAAAAATAATAAAGTTGTTTCGATTGTAAATTTCAAAATGGCGGCCGTTTGAATTTTTATAACTTAATTAACTCAAAAACGGCTAATTCTATGAAAAAAATTCAAGAATACTTTTTTTAGCATTTTTAATTTCCTATCAAACGATACCAAGATCAAACAGATCGGACAAAAGATAACTGAAATATAACTTTTTTTGTGTAAAAATAAGGAAAAAAATAAGGGTTCCCCGACTAACTTTGCCTTATTTTTACACAAAAAACTTTATATTTCAGTTATCTTTTGTCCGATCTTTTTGATCTTGATATCGTTTGATAGGAAATTAAAAATGCTAAAAAAAGTATCCTTGACATTTTTTCATAGAATTAGCCGTTTTTGAGTTTAAGTTATAAAAATTCAAACGGCCGCCATTTTGAAATTTACAATCGGAACAACTTTATAATTTTTTCTATTATATGTCTGGTACATATGTGTTGTATGTTGTTATATGTCTTGTTAACATGTTTACCAAATTTCATAATCATCGGATAAAAAACTTCACAGATAAAAATAGTTTTGTATAAAAAACAAAATGGCGGATATCTGGGTTAATATGCATTTTCGGACATACCTTCCCATAAACTTTTTTCTTCCTTTTAGTATCGGGATTCATTTCCCAAAGTCCTGAAACGTTTTTTATGGACACCCCGTATACTCTAAACTACCCCATTGTACGGTGGTGGCTAATTAGCAGTAGTTGGTAAGTAAAGGTCACTATCTACATCCTTGCCAAATCTCTATCACGTTTCTAAATGGTTAAGAAACGAACACGAAATCAGCCACTTTAAGCTTAATCCCCATAAGAATAACATGGGAAACTATTATAGCCTCGTAAAAGTGATAAAGCCTTTCAAATGTTGAAATTAAACTTAAATTCTAGAGGTCAAGGAGTAAGGTTACAAAAAACATGTAATGAATAAAATTTAAAGTAAGCTAAGGAGAGTACAAAGTATTACAATAATTGCAAAAAAATTACTTAGGCAAAACTAGCGAAAACCATAAAAAATACCAATATTTTACATTTTTGAATATTTAATTTATAAATTACTTTAACTTAAAATACATCTATTAGATACTTAATGTAATTACTATAATCATAATGAAAACAGTTTTTTTTTCATTCTTCTATCAAACTTATAAAAAATCGTTGATTACGCTTTATCAAATTATTTCACTACAGTCAAAAACCTATCTTTATGGCTTTTTCTAAGCTTTGCAATAGGACGATGAAACGGAGAATAATAAGATAGTTTGATATAGTATATTGTACAAAAACAATTACAAATACTACAGTATAATACTATAATGCCTTACATAACTAAACCTATGCTTTATTTTAATCGGCTTTGCAGTGGCGTTATATTCAGGCCCTTCAGGAAAAAAAAACAATTAAAAGTAACTAGTGTGCCTGTTGCTCGAAATCGAGCAATTGTCATGTACCAGTATTATACAGGAGTTATTAAAAAAAATAACAGTCATCTTCTATGAGATTTGTACGACGTAGAAATAAAATAATCTAACTATAGCCTATATTAGCAAAATAATTTGGATACCAGATTGGGAAGCAGATTTGTATAACTGTTAAACAGTTATATACAATAATGCCTTGTATTTTGTCTGTTACTTATAACATATATTTTAATTCTTTGTACTTTAGTATGGACATTAGGATACCACCACCATACCCGTATTCCGCCAATTTCCTAAATTTGTTCCTCAGGCCCGAGCTCTGTAAATGTCAAACATTTGACTAGCCAATTCCATTTCAAAGTACTAATTCAATTGTCTGAATTGGTTAGTTAATGGTTACATGCACAAAGGGGTAAATTATTCCTTCATCTCGCAAATATGTTTTACCTGATATAAACACATCATTGTTATTCAATAGAACCAATTTATCTGCATTAGCTTTGTGTACTTAACTTAAAATATATTCAGTTGCAATGTCTATTTGTGTATGTTAATACGCTTAAATAAGTCAAGTATGATAATGGATTCTTGAAATTCTGCTAATGAACTGATAATGGTTGCATTATATTTAGTTATTGATTTAAAAAAGACTGTATTGGTCCAAAAAGTACGAGAACGAATTATTTTAAGGAATTATATTCTTTTTCATAATGAGGATGGTATAAAAGGAGGAAATCTTAAATTAGAACATAGATCGATTAAAGGTATACAGGGTGTGAAAAAATGTATGAATGAATGAAATGTATGAAAAAATGTCAAGAATACTTTTTTTAGCATTTTAAATTTCCTATCAAACGATACCAAGATCAAAAAGATCGGACAAAAGATAACTGAAATATACCGGTTTTTGTGTAAAAATAAGGCAAAAATTAAGGGTTCCCCGACTAACTTTGCCTTATTTTTACACAAAAACCGGTATATTTCAGTTATCTTTTGTCCGATCTTTTTGATCTTGGTATCGTTTGATAGGAAATTAAAAATGCTAAAAAAAAGTATTCTTGACATTTTTTCATAGAATTAGCCGTTTTCGAGTTATTTAAGTTAGAAAAATTCAAACGGCCGCCATTTTGAAATTTACAATCGGAACAACTTTATTATTTTTTCTATTATAGGTCTTGTGTATGGTAACATGTTTACCAAGTTTCATAATCATCGAATAAAAAACTTCACAGATAAAAATATTATTGTATAAAAAACAAAATGGCGGGTATCTGGGTAAATATGGATTTTCGGACATACCTTCCCGTAAACTTTTTTCTTCCTTTTAGAATGGGGATTCATTTCCCAAAGTCCTGAAACGTTTTTTATGGACACCCTGTATATTGGGAAACACAATGTTACAGTTTCCATTTTAAAACCAGCTACGAAACGTGGAATAGGATATTTAGTAAGATTGCATTTTATCTGCGAGATACGAAATTATAAGGTTAGAATTACTGGAACTTTTACTGTTATTGTTGTTGTCGTTGTGTGTGTTTATGTGTGTGTATTGTTTCCCACCTTTGACCAAGATATACTGAAACAATATTAATTCTTTTTCAGACATCAGGTCATCGAGTAGAAACTTGGCGTCGACGAGGACCCAGCAAAGTATCACCAAAATGCTACTTCTGATATCTTCAGTGTTCGTGTTGCTCAACCTTCCCAGGTAAATCTGTCGCACGGTTTTAAACTTACCACAAGAAGTTTCACTGTTTGAAATTGTAATAGTGCTAATCGATGATTCAGAAGGTCGTCGGTTCGATCCTGTAAAAAGTAAGTTTTTGATGATTAAGACTCGGAATCTCATATGTAGTAGTTAAGAGTCAAAAAGATCTTCTAATGCGTTACGAAAGAAAAGAGAAAGATGGACAATAAGAAATGATAATTCAACAATTAAACAAAAAAGGGTACTCCAGACAAAGGAAGGCCTCTTTGCTAGATCACTTTGAACAATGTATAAAAAGGTAACGTGCTAAGCAAACTGAATAGTCGGGAATGTATAGATTCAAGCGTACCGAAAGAACAAAACTGTTTAGTGATACCACGTGATCAGCCATTATAGTCGATCTTGAAAGAACGTGTGACAAGAAAAGTAATTTAGCAAAGCACGTCGTAAGTTTTGAAAATATGGTTGTAAATAGACCTGAAAAAGCTGTTTAGTAAATAGAGAATTTAATAAATCGATTCCATGAGCCAGAAACGCACTGTTGTGTGCGCATCGAGTGATAGTAGAATGGAGTGAAGCGACGGGTATCGCTTTACCGTTGACTGGGACTGGGGTTTGACTGGGACCACCTGTTTCTTTAACTGGGATCATTTACTAAAAGCCCAATGATCAGGAACAGCTGTGTCCAGCTACGAACAATCGTAAACCTCCTAAATTTTATCAGGATGATTTCTAGTACCTATTTCAGGCCCTTCTTTTACTAGACGAGTTTTGATCACTTATAATATTGCTATGTTTTACGCAACCCTTTTTCCAGGTACTGAATGTTACTTTAGGGACAAAACTAGCTCATAATTTGGTATCCCTGTTTTTCTAACTTTATTGCCAATCAGCTGATATGCATTATTGCCTACACGTGTTGTACAGCATTCTCTGGGTGCAAGAGATATAAACACCCGGCAATGAGCGTGCCAAAACCCAACGGTCAGTTGCCTCAGCCGTTGTAATGCTGACACCAGGACTTTGCTTCAAGGAATGATGTCATAGATCAGATCAAAAGCGTAATCAATAGGTTCAAGCCTACTAGACCTAGTGAACGACCCCGGCATTCATCAAACTCACGAAATAGAAGTCATAAGATCCATATTGAAACTGACAATTGATATGGACATTGAAGCAAAAGGAACTCTTTTCCGTCCCAGCCCAACATATGGGAGAACGAATGTTTTTCGTAATCCCTTCTGATCAAGCCTGGAAACTTAGTTACAACGCTTTCTTAGCAAACAATTATTTACATTTTAATGTGTTCTTCTACAATACATACTCTTTGAGCATGCGAAAACACCATGTTGAGACTTATTTGCAATAAATTCCAGATAAAACTAAACCTTATAACTAAAGCTGGGTTTTCCTAGGCGCGGAATCGGCGAGCGGAGAGAGGAACGCGGAGAGCGGACTCCACTTGTCTTAGGCAATTTAATGTTACTGTTTTCCTAGAAGCGGAGCGGAAGGCCATGTTAATTTCAATTCCGCTCTCCGCGTTCCTCTCTCCGCTCGCCGATTCCGCGCCTAGGAAAACCCAGCTTAATATAGCTACTATGCAACAATGCATATAAGCTGATCAGTAACGAAGTAAAAAAAAAAAACAGGGATACGAAATAATAAGCTAGTTTCGACCTTAAACAATGTCTCTTGGTTATTGTAATTTGAGTTGAGATTTAAAAGAAAATTGTCATGAAATACTGCATTCAGTTTTAAATATTTACAAAATCCGGCTATACAACACCTTTTGATCGGTTGTAAGCCGAATATAAGCTAAATAATTTCTTTGATCTGTGTATAAAAGCTTTTGCATCAAAGATAAAATGCAATTACCTAAAGCGAATTATCACCACATTTTAACTACTTTGGATAACGTCAAAGTTATGCAATCTAATTAAACCCTTCATCAAAGGTTTCAACTTTATAACTTGCAGGAGGTTACAAATATAAAATTACAATTAAATGAACCATTAATTTATAATAATTATAAGATTGATTTTGAAAATAGAAATGGTAGAAATCTCATCTGTAGAGTCCGGCTATCTATTTTTTTACTGCAAAACACCATCAGTTAGTTCAGTGAGCATTTAACGAAGTAAATCACCAACTAATCAATTTATCTCTGTTATCAAGACTTCGTCTTACACAACCTGTTCTTTACAACTTCTTATATTTTTGTAGAAAGTGTATTCTAAGTAATGATAGTTTAATCATACGGGTTTCATTCATAAGAGATGCATTAGAGTAGTAGTATTTCATTTCTTCAGTAGTAGTATTTCATCATTCCTCTGACACACAGTTATTGCACCGGTCTATTTTTTAATGCACTTTTACATACAAATTGGAATTTAACACCAACTGTAAAAAAACCTTTATAACGTGTTAATAAAAATAAGGCGTGTGTGTTTAGAATAATAGCTGATTACTATTGCGCTGGTGACAATTCATACTTTAAAGACAATAATTGTTATTAAAAAATACTAAATGTACATTTTATTCCTTTTGGTAGTGCCATTATACTACAATGTTCACTAAAAAAATGCTAATAAAAATTCTTTGTTGTTAAATGTTTCGTTTTGTAAACTATACCATCGAATATGTCCACATTTTGGAGAACGGCCTACATATTCTTAGCTCTAAGAATGGCCAAGAACTCCTACCGGGTCTAGACCTCACTATGAAATCTACAGCACAGCTTATTACATATATTGGAAATTCTCTAAAAAAAACCCGCCCATTAAGGTTTGTAGGATGGTTTCAAAAAGGAAACTTGTGGCTAGTAGTGATGACAAACAGTAAACACGTCTGTGAACTAATAACACAGTCATTAAAACAACTAATAAAATACCAAACCCAAAGGATTTTGTTTGTTTTAAATCAACGAAGGAATCCTTACCAATTCTAACTAAATAAGGTAGAGTAAACTGAAGTAGGTTTACACAAAGTTATGTTTCTCAAAGAGTGTTTGTGTAAAAGCAAACAGTTTAATTGACGGAAAATTTGTAAGGTTTTGTGTAATTGGTTAATTTTATGAAAAAGATCTTGCACTTTATGATAAAAGTTTAGTTTTCAAGCTCTCAAAAAGTGGTACTTAAGTACATAAACCTCCACTCATACTGTTTGAAGAAAGCAGTAAGTTATATAAATACAGTAATAACATTTAAACGGACTCTTTTCAATTTACCATACAAAATACAATTATTTTTAAAGAAATTTCGAACACAAGATTTATGACAGGTAAAAACATCTTATAAATGTTTCATGTACATATTTTAAAATACATTCTAGTCCCAGATGCGAAATATAAGTATTTTATACACTTGAAGCAATTTTGTAGGCTTGAGGGAAGAAGTTTCCTAGACAATCTGTCTCACTGAGAGCATGGACTGGTTTAACCTACGAGACTCTAACCCTTTTCACACAAATTTTACGTTTTTTACCACTTCTTATGTGTATTAAAGATGTTAAAAATTATAAATTACTATTTTCATTACCCCCTAGTTTAAATAACAAAATAGCCTAGCCCATGTATGCAAAATTTCGAAGCTTTTACTCTATTGGAAAAAAACTAAATATTTGTTGTTTGTATGTAACACATATATTCGTCTCATGAGACCTGCCACACTTTTTACGTGACTGTTGTGTTGCAGCTAGTGATCTTCTCCTACTCCGTATATCATTATGTGATGTGTTACACATATTCTCATGTGACCTGCCACACTATTTACGTGACTGTTGTGTTGCAGCTAGTAATCTTCTCCTACTCCGTATATCATCATGTGATGTGTCACACATATATTCGTCACTTGTGACCTGCCACACTATTTACGTGACTGACTGTTGTTTTGCAGCTAGTAATCTTCTCATACTCCGTATATCATTATGTGATGTGCTACACATATATTCTCATGTGACCTGCAACACTATTTACGTGACTGTTGTGTTTCAGCTAGTGATCTTCTCCTACTCCGTATATCATTATGTAATTTGTCACACATATATTCTCATGTGACCTGCAACACTATTTACGTGACTGTTGTGTTTCAGCTAGTGATCTTCTCCCACTCCGTATATCATTATGTGATGTGTTACACATATATTCTCATGTGACCTGCCACACTATTTACGTGACTGTTGTGTTGCAGCTAGTAATCTTCTCCTACTCCGTATATCATTATGCGATGTGTTACACATATATTCTCATGTGACCTGCCACACTATTTACGTGACTATTGTGTTGCAGCTAGTGATCTTTTCTACTCCGTATATCATTATGTGATGTGTTACACATATATTCTCATGTGACCTGCCAAACTAATTACGTGACTATTGTGTTGCAGCTAGTAATCTTTTCCCACTCCGTATATCATTATGTGATGTGTTACACACATATTCTCATGTGACCTGCCACACTATTTACGTGAATATTGTGTTGCAGCTAGTAATCTTCTCCCACTCTGTATATCATTATGTGATGTGTTACACATATATTCTCATGTGACCTGCCACACTATTTACGTGACTATTGTGTTGCAGCTAGTAATCTTCTCCCACTCCGTATATCATTATGTGATGTGTTACACACATATTCTCATGTGACCTGCCACACTATTTACGTGACTATTGTGTTGCAGCTAGTAATCTTCTCCTACTCCAATTATCATCATGCGATGTGTTACACATATATTCTCATGTGACCTGCCACACTATTTACGTGACTGTTGTATTGCAGCTAGTAATCTTCTCCTACTCTGTATATCATTATGTAATGTGTTACACATATATCCTCATGTGACCTGCCACACTATTTACGTGACTGTTGTGTTGCAGCTAGTGATCTTCTCATACTCTGTATATCATCATGCGATGTGTTACACATATGTGACCTGCCACACTATGTACGTGACATTTGTGTTGCAGCTACGTGATCCGGCTGTACGTGTTCATCTGCTTCTCTCTGTGGCGGCAGACGACACCAGACACACTGTGGTGCATGCAGCAGTTCTTCATGCTCCTCTACTACACCAACTTCAGCATCAACTTCCTCCTGTACTCCATGTGCGGCATAACGTTCCGACGATGCCTGTGGCAACTGATAAGGAACAAGTTAAAGGCCTTGACCCGTTATCATTGCGACGTCATGGTGAACAGGTGAGATCGGCGGGTTTATCAAGACTCGCTTTAGAGCGGCCGTGAAAACAACGAAGCCCGCTTTGGCTATCAGCAATTGGTTCTCGTGGGAAGAACTTCATTAGAGATCGTTTAATATTGATGAAGCGACATTTTACAGAGCACTTGTTTGAATACAATGCTGATTTTTGAAAATATTGAAGAATGTTTGAAAAAAACTCTTCTGAGTAGGAACTTGACTCAAAGTTGTTGTTTGAAGCGGTGTCTTCAAAGTGAACACAGCATATTAAGTGCCATATAAATCCTAGCGATGTTCTTTGCTTGTAACTTTAAGCTGGGTTTCCTAGGTTTTTAGACTGGGACGGGTGGCGTCGTTCTGTAATCTTGCTACTAGGTCACGAATTGTGGATAATTATAGGCATGCAGTGTGGAAGTGATACTCCCTGGTGTGGATTAACGTCCGCACAGGTGAGTACTACGACTATCCACAGTACTATCCTGATAATTAGACCAATTCGTATATACCAAGGAAAAATGTGGTTCGGATTCCACTATAAACTGCAGGTCTCTTAGTCATCATTAGCTGTGTTATGGGCTATTAATTAACAGCTGTGTCTAAGGAATATGTCGGGCTTAGTCACTAACAAGACTACAAGATCGCGCCACTCATCATAAACTCATCTCCATTCATATTTGGCTTAAAATACCTACTTTGTATAGTCGCCATGTCAAAAGAAAAAGTATAAAAAAAGTATAGGAACCTGAACACAGAGTTCTTAAAAGACATTTTATTGGCAATCCGTTTCAATCCTAGGAAAACACTACCATTAAATTACCTCAGACAAGAGCAGAGCTGCTCCGCACTCCGCGCACAGCTTGAAGTTTGTTCAATGCAAATAACATAGCTAGGATTAGAAACGAAATGTATGTTTAACATCTTGAGTAATCCAAGTTGTGTGAGTGATATGTTTTGAGTAAACACTGTTACGATTCAAACTGAATGTTGAATATATATTTCAAAGTAGGACACCAATAAACTTGATCGAACAACACTAGACATACTTGTAATATTGGATGTAATATTATTAGAATTTCTCCATTGTGTGGATTTTTAACTGTAGGAAGGAAATTATATAATAGTAGATTTCGTACCTAGGGCCGAAAATGAGGTTTTGCTGGCTCGAGATAGTTGGTTTTTACTTTCGAGACGAAGTCTACCATTTCGGTCCATGGTACGAACGCTATTATTTTTCACCACACTAATACCCTATTACCACTATTCACCACATTAATAATGTATACTAATAAACAGTTGCTAGGCAGCGGTGACGAAAAACAAGTATATTGCAAGGCTATGGCTACAGCTTGTGAATTTAATATACATTATTGTTTTAAGTAAATAAGCTAACAGTTGATTTTGCGGCCCTAGGGTTGTAAAACCTGGTCGATCCCCAAAATGACGATGATAGCTAGTATAACCAGCAAAACGTAACATTAATCCACCACAATTAGCGTATGTAAAACAGCTAAAACACCAAAACTTGATGAAAAATCATTTTATTCTGCTCGTTTACACTGAATTAGTTCAGTAGTAAAAATTTAAATACACTGGTCAAAATATTTTACTCGTATAGCGAGTAAAATGTGTTGAACAGTGTATTTTAATTTTTACATTAGTATCGTAACAATGAAAGCCTTGAATAATAAATAAAATACTGTACCAAGATAAAAGAAAAATAATGACTGAAGTAATATTTAGTACTACTCAATCTGTCAAGAAAGGCGATTAATTTACGACCAACCGAATGCAAAGATTTTCATAAAGATTCAAGAAAATACTGTGTTTAACACTGTTTAGGGTATATTATGTATTTGTTTCATTTATGTATTTTCAACATTTATTGCCTTCAAAAAGCCGTAATGCTTATTTAAATTGTTTTTAATGTAAATTGGTTTTAGTGTAAATTTGTATGAAATTACAAGGTGTAGTTTTAAAAATTGTGGCATTCTATATAAAAAGTACTTTTGTAAACAATATTTCTAATTACCTAAAAGAGGTTGAGTTTGTTTACAATTTGTGGATAACTTTGGACAGAAAAAGGTAACTGACATCTTATCGATAATTAGTTAAATAATTCAGAAAGCAATACACAAAATAAAAATATTTTATTAAACAAAAATCTTGAAAACCTTCCAATATTTGCATAAGACATTGTTATTTTAATACGCAACCCCTTGACAGAGGAAATAATTTTTTAATATACCATATTATAAATGTTTCCTTGATTTGTGCCTTGTGACATATTACAAATTGTACTGAAAAGTTGAATGAAATATGTAAAAGATTATTCTTATATAGGCCCTGACACTCACATTACTATTAAAGTGAAACCACCGAAGTTACCTGTTCAAAATGCAGCTTGATATTAAAATTAATAAACTTTATTTTCATCGAACAAAGTTAGGACAACATGGTTTTTGAAAATATTTTTAAAAAACGTGACGATGAGGTCCTATAAGGATTTTTATGTTACTAGAAACAAAATTGTATAGGCCTACGAAAAAATTTATCATTGAGACATATCAGACCTATTAGGCATGTGAGGTGGTTGTAAGGGATTAAACCAGATTCATGACTAAATTAAGAAATCAATTGTGAATTAATTTAAGATTAGGAAGAAAAGGTTTAAGTTATAACTAACAGAATTTTTCGTTTTTGTTATCTCCATACAGTTTTATTAAATTAAAGTAGTAAGATAACATAACAAATAACCTATTTAAAATGTTTGCAATTGAATAAAAATAGCGTAATTATACCAACACAACTTTTAATGGTTAATTTTTATATAAAAAAATCAGAATTTAAAACATTGTTAAGTTAATTTTTTGTTTATTGTAAACCCGTATTTATATGGCCAGGATATTTTTACTTTCCAAAGATTATATATTAATACATTGCTGCATTATAATTTACAAAAAGTGGGAAAATAATTAGGTTTCTGTAATTTTCTCATAAGAGACATTTTCGACTTAATTTTGAACTTTAGGCGAACCTCAAGACCCTTATCTCGGTACGATATGTAATATAATTTCTGATTTTATTAAATAAATAGTTGATAACTTATAGGACTAGTAAGAAAGAGGTAGCTTTGTTAAAGATCACTATAAAAAATTGTATTTATGTTAACAAAAATAGATGACTGCATTTATTTTAAGGCTAAAATGTTCAAACTAAAACTTGATTCCTAACCAAAATTTAAATTTTCTAAGCAAAATGTTCCACGTTAAATTTGGGCTGACAAAGTTGGGCGACCAAAGATCGCATTTCATAGTGCGTTTTTATATCACGGGAATATACTTTAAGAGGTGTTATGATATAAACCACTCTTGTATTTATTTAAGAGTAAACATTAATTTATTTTGTATTGTAACATAGCTCCTGAGGCAGCTCAGATTTTATAGTTCACATAATTTCCATATTTCATAAACTGGAAAAATCAATTTGTTTCGTCACTTTATAGAGTGTACTTTCATTCTCGCTAGTGATCATAATGTAGGCATTCAGATGTTATATTTTGAATGAATTTCTTTGCCAAATCTTGATCTAAGCAGGAGACTTAATCCCATATTTTTGTTTAAGGTACTCAGCTCATTCAAAAATGTAAAAATTTGAAGTAAGAAAAATGCAATATAAGCTAAATATTTTATCCATTACCTAGTTCCTCATCAAAACAAAAATTAAAGACACGAATCAAATAAAATAAAAAGACAGTTAAAAAACATGTAATGCTAGTTCTTGTACATTTTTAAATACTTACAACTCTACCTATTGTTTTTCAAAATATTTATGTAGTCATTGTACTTTAAGACCACGGAAAGCTTTAAATTATGTAAAGATATATAGACTGGTGTGATTTTATAAATAACATATTTATATTATGATATTTTATTACTAATATGGCATTATTAAATGTATAATTAAATGTTAGTTGGCATTTTTCTTTGTATGTATTTGTTAAACTTTTTTATGTCCATAAAACATTTTATCTTTCCAGGAATGTTTTATTTTCCTAAAAATACCATTCAATAAACATTTTTGTGAAAACAATGCTTTGGACACAATATCAGGATGGTAAAAGTCCTGTAAAACAATTTTGTAAATATGTTTTCCTTTTGTTACCTTCATTGAAGCAATTTTACCGACATCTGTACAAGCAGTTTTCCCTATGTTCATAACAGGGGTTGTGAGCACTGATTTTATTTTATGGTTATATTAAAAAATACTTGGGGTGTTAAACAATCTAAGAAGAAGACGGCTAAACGATAAAAACACGTTTTCTAGCCATGCTGAAATGGACATGTGGGGTCTTATACATGAATGTTATGAGATTATTTGCTTGACTAGAGTTATAATAATAACTTCTTTGTGGTAGCAAGGACTACGAAACACATCATCATCATCAATGAAGTGTTTGTTATTTATTTATTTTAGTATCCTTAAACAGCTGTTATCATGTCTGGGTAGAACAATTAACCAGCTATAAAGACTGTTATCTGACACCTGTACGTGCTTTTAAAGCATGGTATTTTGGAATAATATTTGGGTTATCGACCAAACTTCTTTTCCACTCTTCTGTCTTTATCAACAAAGGAAACGGTTTAAATCGAGCTCATATACTATCTAAAATCGATCTTTTCTTCGACAGCATCATCATTAACCCCAAAAAATCTAGATTCTAGAATACAAAGAATTCAAAGACTTTTAAGAACGATGGGAGTTAGATATGGCTACAATTATAGAGACATCCCAGTTGAAGAACTCGAGTCCCTACTGAATCTTTATACTCTGGCCAAGAGAAGAGATGTTGCAGATCTGGCTGTCTTGTTTAAATTGATCAAGGGTAAGATAGACTCTTCTCAGCTCTTGGAAAAGACTTCGTGTTCCAGACAGTACCAGGTCTGTGGATGTTTTCTTCAGGACTAACTACCTGGGTAATAGTCCGATGATCCGATTCCAACAGCTAGGAAATGACTTCTCAACCCATGTTGACCTCTATAGCGACACTCAAGCTTAACTTAAACACAAAATCCTACACGATCAATTCACACTCAAATACATTTTATACATCTCATACAGTTGTATATTCTACATTAAGGGATTTTATAAATTCATGTTATTATCATTGTTATTGTTATCAAATCACTCTGCATTGTTTTTGTTATTGATATGTCATAGTATTATACCTATTATTGATGATTAATTGTATTGATGTAATTGTTGATGACATGTTGATTTGTTGAATAGTTTCCAAGTCAGTCTTGAATCTTATTATCATTCAGGGTGTCCCG